TATTGGGCCGGTCTAGGGTTGGCCCAGAACTGGCCTTGAAGAAGCCCGCCAATTTTGTAATTTTTATTTTTATTTACTTTTTATCTTTTTGTAATTTTCATGCCAGGCCGAGTCGAGTCGAAACCATTGAGGATCGTTGACGACCCAACAGCCAGATTAAATCTTGGTCACTAGATCTTTTTAACCGTTGGAGATCCAACAACTAATTTTTATTTTATTTTATTTTTTGTTAAACACGGTTTCAAGTCTGGGTTCAATTATGGGTCCGAATCTGCTCGCCCGAAACCGCCAACAGTAAGATTTTTAAATTTGATCATTGGATCATCTTTGTAAGTATTCGTGAAGTTTGATATTAAATCGACAAATTCCAAACTAAAGCTGAAACCTACATAGTATAGTGGAACCATACTGAAAGATAAAGGAAAGTACTTATTATCTTTATTTTATTTAAATCCCTCGATCTTATTTGGTCAAGATTTTTAGATTTTTAGTCAGTTTATTTTGTTTGAAGGAGATCGAGAAGAAATATACAAGATATCTTACCATATGAAGCAGCTGCACACAAAAAGAAAGAAGGATTATACTTAGCATGCAAGGAAGCCACAAGATGTGTGGAATAATTACCATATGGAACAACAGAGATGTGTGAATAACTTACGATGCAGAGATGACTTGCAAAGGGGATAAGCGGCCACAAGTGCAAGAATGTGGACGCAACTAATTTTGGAATAAATAAGGCAAGCTGAACTTACTATAGTTATGTAAGACATAAGCGACTCCTTGCACGTTTGGGAGGTTTGGCGATTAGAAGATTATTTTCATTTTTTGTTAAGAGAAAAGAGCTTTGAGAGTTGTTCGTTTGAATCATCTTTTTGAGATTAATTTTATTTTGTTTAAGTGGAGACGATAGTCTGTTCTCGATCTCATTGAGCATACTTATACTTTGAGATAGTATAAGTGTTCTGGAGGAACAGTACGTCGAACAATACGAGGGTTTCGTGTTGTGAAAATCCACAAGGGATTTATGGTCGTGAAATTAATTGTATAGGCGATTGCATTGTAGGTCTAGAAGTGGGAGTATTCGTCGTAATTCCTAAATGTAATGGGTCAAACACCTATATATATATGAAAGAATTCCGAAAGAAGTTTCATGTTTTGTAAAATCATATTTATGGAAACAGAACTTCCCATAAATGTGAGGTAAAGCTTCGTACAAATATTGGTCCACATCAGATTATTATTATCTTGGAGAAATTATAAGTTGAACTCCAAAAGAAACATTCAAATATCACTAATTATTAAGGTAACATTTGATGATGAACAATGACTTGGTTTAGGAATAAGATATATAATTTAGGTTTTTATTTTTTTTCGTGCAACTAGTTTATGGAATCAGATGAAATCTCATAATTTAAAAGCGTACCTATGTCGTCTTGGAACTAATTCTTGCAAATAAATTGCGTAATTTATCTTTCTCCCCAATTCATAATTTTGTCTGTGTAAAGTCGATATGTACTTTTTGCAGATAGTGACTGCGGAAAAAGAATAAAGAGAGAAGAAAATATATATAACCGAATAAATGTTCCATCATATTTTTTGCATTTTTTATCATGCCCAGAACTTATGTCTGACCCTCTTTTCATTGCTAATTTATTCTACTTTATTTTATCATTATAATTATTATTACTATTATTTGCTTTACTATTCACTGGATTTGAATAACAGGAAGCATCTCAGCCTGTCAGAAGCTTCTAGGATGTTTTCTCGACTCCCAAACGCCGTAATCCTTATAAACTCCTTACCCGCGGGCCCGAATCCGCTTCCCGGCACAGTTATTATGTGTGTCCTTTGGAGAATCTCGTTAAAGATGTCCCACGAGTTGGAACCGGGAAAATGCACCCATAGATAAGGCGCGTTTACACCTCCATACACTTTCAACCCCACTGATTCAAATGTCTTCAGTAGTATCTCTGCATTCTCCATGTAATTATCCACAACTGATGTTACAGCCTGGAAAATATGTTGTTTTGAGAAATTGCAACTATTCTTTTAAAGTATTAAATGTAGAAGTTTACAATTTTTTTTAGTCATGTTTACTAAGATATGTATCACTGCAATGTATAATGTATTAGTTTAACATGTAATGCATTTGTGAATGAAAGTTTTGACCATAACAATGACCAATCAAAAATGATATAGATATTATTGTACAGGACCAGTCGATTATATATGTGTATATATATATATATATATATATATAATCATAATAGGTAATAACTTATTTTAAATTTTTTTATACGATTGAATTTCAACTTTATTTAATGCATATTATAAATTGTATAATCGAATTGATATCTCTCGTGCATATGCACAGGTAAAAGAGTATTAGTTAATCATAAAGATTATGTATGGGTCACCTTAAGCCCCTCTGTGGACAAGGTGGCCAGGCCACCAGCCTGAGCTATTCGTGAAGCTCCATTAAAGCAAGTGCACATAACGCGATTAAAGTCTTCTATAATTGGAAACCCATTTGAATACATAAGCTCCTCTGGAACCACAGTCCACCCAAGACGAACCCCTGTAAACCCAACAATCTTGGAGAATGAACAAACTTCTATTGCCACCTGCCACATTAATTCACTTCTATTTCAACCAAAATATAAAACATATACTTTGGCGAGATTAATGAAATGATATTACCTTTTGAGCCCCTGGGATTTCGTAAATGGAGCGAGGACTTCCATCCTTTATGTAAACAGCGTAGGCCGAGTCATACACGATAATAGACCCCTTTTCTTGCGCAAACTGCACGAGTCTCTCTAACTGGTCACGAGAAGCTGCATGTCCGGTTGGGTTATTTGGGGAGCAAAAGAAAATGACATTTGTTCGCGTGGTTTGTGAGAGGTCGGGAAAGAAGTTATTATGTGGTCCGCATTTCATGTACTCGATGTTCCTATACCTTCCCGACTCACTCTCGATATCTCCAGTTTGACCAATTATGATGCTTGAATCTATATAAGCCTGACTTGAAAGTCAGAAAGAATCAGAAAGCTTGGGATGAAATTGGACTTGAGTTTTAGAGTAAATGATACTCCCTCCTTTTTTTAATAAGTGTCGTTTTGAGAAGTTGCACATTAATTAAGCATATTTTTTATGCCAATAATAACCCTCATTAATGAAGATAGAGATGAATGTTTTGAGAAAAGATGAAGAGCTAGTGAATATGAAAGATGTAGTGTATTTATTAGCTAGATGAGGGTAATAATGGAAAAATATGTAGAAAAGATAAAAAATGTCATTTATTTTGTTAATTATTGATAAAGCCAAAATGACATTTAAAAAAAAAGAAGGTAATATAATATATGACAAGTCAATTATAGTCTTCATTATTTTGTCAAAATTAGCGAGGTTTGCTTCCTTGTGTAATCTAGCCAAAACTAAAATGTAGCTTTGTAATTATGACATAAAAGTAGTGAAGCTTCAAAGTATATATCACCGGGAAACTCGGATCTTGAACGGCTATGGACATGTTTGATCCAAACAGCAGCTTCAAATAAATAATATTTGTGAATCAATTCATGTTATAGAACAAAAGAATAAAAATTAATACACCTTCTAACTCTTGTGTACATATGCATATATATACCTGAAGGCGTGAGATATCACACTGTGCACCGTCTGATACAAATACTTCCGTGTCTTTTATAGCGATGTTTTTGTAAAATGTTTTTACAATTGCTTTTCTTAGCTCCTGCAATAATCGGGTTTAGTATTCCTTAGTGAAAAGAAAAAAAAAATCAACCTAACACGAACTCAAATATAAACGATTTCTTTGTGAAAAATTAGTCTTTTCTTACTTTGCTCCCTTGCTCTGGTCCGTACCCTCGGTAACCTTTTGGTGTTGCAAGGCTGAGTGCAAACTAAAAAGAAAAGAAATAAGGTACTTTAGAAAGAACAACTACTTTGTCTTGTTGAAGATATAAAAGAAATCTATTTAAGTTAAAGATGTCAAGTCTTGAAGGATTTTAAAGCCTCATTTACTGCGTATAAACACAAAATTTTGAGTGTCAATCTATTATAGTTTATTACAAAAACTCACATTAGCCATACTCGAAGCAACAACATTCGGCAATGGCTCAGTGGTGTCACCAATCCCAAGGCTTATAACTTTCGCGTTAGGATACTTTTCTATGTGTTGTGCTTCACGTGCGGATATCTGTAAGATAGCAATGACTTATATTCACAACAACTAAGCAAGCGTATGAAAATATTGTTTTGCGACAAGTATGGATGGAAAAATTACAACATTTAGTTTGATGCTACAAAATCAAATTTTAATTTACCTTTTCGTTGCACCTGTTTACATTATAGAAGGCAACTTGAGTTGAATTATGAATTTAATTGTATTTATAAGTGAAGAAAAAGGATTAAGGTTAAAGAATTAGCAACCTCTGGGAATAAGTAGTTATACTGCAGCCGCTCAATTGCTGGATTGCGAGCAACGTTCGTACGATAATTGGTGACTGCATGGATAAGTAGTTTTCTTATGGACAATGATGATAAATTATATTATGAATTTTTGTTTTAAAATGGAAGTGATGACCTCATACCACTTCCATTTCCATGTGTCTTGATGCTGCAAAAAATAATTGAGATAAAGTGATGCATTAATTAACATGGACGCAATTAAATTGTAGATAATAAATTGAATGTGAAAATAAAATAAAATAAAATAAAACAGCTCGGTCTAACCATTACCTAGCTCTAGGCTGCAAAATGGAATTACAAGGCATGAAAGAGAAAGTTACCATTCTTTCGTTGCTAACTCAAATTTTTGTATTTTTATTTCCACCTTGGTATGTAATTTGAAAATAATTTGTACATATGGATTATAAAACTCTACGTAGGGGGTATTTATAGTAACACAAATTAGTAATGAGAGCAAACATCACTATCAGCTTCATGTTCACAAGATGCCACATTTATATATTAGTTTGGTTTCTTTTAAGTGAGTCTATGAGTGGAATCAAGTGGTCCACAAATCCATAGTAATAAATGATCTCCTTCTCTGCATATTAATTGTCTGATTATAGTATCCATGAAATTTACAAAATGTAGACTAACAGAGCTACCTTACAAAAAGCTCATTGTCATAGTTTCCTTTTTTTTTTTTNTGTTCCATAAGTTTATTCTTTTATAGACCAACGTGATAAAACGTAGAAAAGTTGAAAATGCAACCTTAATTTCTTAGTTCAAATGTTCCAATCGGTTCATTCTCCATGTAGAGAAGCTTAATTATAAGTAGCTAAAAGCGAATCAAAATTATACTTTCTAAATGATTTATAAGTATTTTGGTTGTGGCAAGCTCGGGCTAGCATACATTAGATCACAACATTTATAATCCTCATAAACAAGCAACAAAATGAGATCTTACAACCGATTAGAGGAGTTGTCATATGCCAGCATTTATTCTCCTAAATAATTTTAGCAATTTGTAATACGAATGGAATTTGAAGTAATCATGTGGTTATGAAAAACTATTTGATTGGTTCATACCCAAGAATTATTCACTTTAGGAAGTTGTGAGGAAGATGGCTTCAATGACATAAATAAATGAAAAAAAAAAGAAAAAATTCGATTCATCTTTGAAATGTCAAGAGAAACTGTTTGTTGGATTTCCATCTTCCATATAGCAAACAAATACTTTATAAATTGCATCTCCAACTTTCCAAATGTTTGAAAAATTATATAGCAAATAAGAACCAGACGACTGACTCATATTTCAACATCAATCAAGATTCTGAAGCATAGTGGAAAGTTTAGACATTGTGTATTCCAAGAGAAGTTTTCGAAGACTATAAATTTCCTCATCATCAAATTTTCAAAAGATTGTTTTCCACATCTAGTTAGCAATCAAACATGCTATAACTTTCAGTAAAAAAAAGATTTATTTCCATTCAACTTTGAAAACTTTATACTACATAATATAACCATTATTTTTATAATTATTATCATCAACATCATCTTTGTTAAACTTCCATAAAACTCCATAAGAACTTAGGGTGTGTTTGTTTATAAATTTATCTAATTCATACTCTAAATGTAACTCAACTTTAACCCAACTAAACTATTTTCAATATTATTAATATAATTAAATAATATCAAACTATCATTCATATACATCACATCAATTTTAATTCATTATATATCCACTCACATAATCTTACTTAACTAACCATCACTTTACATCATCTTTCTCTTACTTTTATATCAATCCAACTTTAGTTATTTTATTTTAAATATTACTTTAATATAATTTAAATATCTCACTAACAACTAACCATACCAACTGTTTTAAAATTAACTCTGGTTAACCAAAAAAAAAAAACTCATTTTAAGCGGATATATTTGTATACAAGCACGCTTTTACTAAATTTCTTAAGATGATTTAATTACACTTGAGGCATTGAAAATTCATCAGTTCTTCCCATTTGATATTATAATTATTAGGATAAATACAATTTCATGATTAAGAAATCAAGAATTGAAAAAAAAGAAGAAAGGAAACAAGAAACCAGGTGATCTATTAGGGTTCTTATGTATTCAATGCTTGCGGCTGCAACCTTCTTTTATCTTCCGTTTATGCACCATCATAAAGTAATCCTAGCCATGTCATTCAAACTGAGATATTACAAATCAATGCCAGATAGCTAAGGGAATAAGTTTTCCCAAAACATAGTTGTACTATATGCTATGAGTTGTCTTCCTCACTGCATTGAGTTGCATGTAGTCTGTCCCTTGTGCATAGTTGGACGTCAGACTTTGCTGACTTGATGACATCGATGTATGAGATCTCATTGGTTCATGAGGTTTATTAACCCCATTCAGCTTGAGCAAAGGTCCTGGCTAGATAAATAGTTTATTTCTAAACATTGAGAAGAGTTGTCCAGTGATTTGCTTGGTGAAAAGATCAACTATTTGATCTAAAGTTGGCACGTGTTTCACTGAAATTAGTGAAGATCGATTTTAAAGTTTTGATTCTCAAGTGAAAGACAGGATTACTTGCCAAGCTCACTGCACCTTGATTGTCCATCCAAATGTTGGTTGATTCAAGAGTGTTTACCTTGAGTACTTGCAATAAGGATTGAAGCCAAACCACATCACATATTGCATGTGTTAAGGATCTGTACTCTAGCTTCGTACTCGATCTAGAGACAATTTGTTGCTTCTTGGAACTCCAGGATATCAGATTTGGGCCCAAGAAAATACAGTAGCCACTTGTTGATCTTTGATCATCTATGTCTGACCCCCAGTCAGCATCAGCATATGCATTTATTTGAATATTTTTTGGAGTATAAAAATGCATTCCATATTACATGGTATAAATACCTGATAATCCTTCTCTCTATTTTCCAGTATGTATTGAGAGGTGTTTGTATGTATTGTGACACCTTGTTAAAACTGTAGGATAACTCTGGTCGTGTGATGGTAGCATACTGTAATGCACCTACTACAAGCCTATAAAGAGTTGGATTTTCCATAGGGTAACCAACAAATATTGAGAGTGCAGGTGGGCTAACAATAGAAGAAGATAATCCCTTAGAATCTTGCATCTTAACCCTAGTGAACAAGTCTGGAATATACTTCTTTTGATTTAGAATGAGTCCACCTTCTATTCTTAGTATTTATATCCCCAAGAGTAATGCAAGCATCCATGATCCTTGAGTGGGAACACTTTTCCATGATACCAATCAACCTTCTCACCTCAATGGAGCTGCTTCCGGTAATCACCATGCCATCTACATAGACAAACACCAAGACAGTCTGCCCATTTGTGTGTTTGTAATAGAGGGAATTATCAGTATTACAAGCATATAAATGTAGAGAATGCAAAAAGATCCCATCTTGTTGAACCAATCCCTTGAGGCTTGCTTTAAACCATATATAGACTTATGAAGTTTGCACTAAATGCTCGTTTCCTTGTGAAACAAAAGCAAAAGGTTGTTCCATATATAGTTTTGTGTCAAGAGTGCCATGAAGGAAAGCATTATCTATATCTATTTGTTTGGTGCACCAGTTCAAAGCTAAAGCAACTGAGTTCTGATGGTTGCCATCTTAGCCACTGGCTAAAATTTCTCCATAATCAAAACCTGGAAACTGAATGAATCCCTTTGCAACCAATCTGACCTTGTGCTTCGCCACCGAGCCATCAACCTTATGTTTTAGTTTATACATCTACTTGCTGCTATAAAGGTCTTGTCTGATGGCAAAGTTGTAAGAGTCCAAGTTTTGTTCTTCTGAAGAGCTTCGAACTCTTTAGCCATTGTTGCTTTCAAATTAGTGCTTAAAAGATCTTCATTGCCATGTCTTGGTTCTCTCTCTTCAACATGAATTGTTGAATAAACCTTAAGATTGTGAATTCCTGCCTTGGCCTTTTTAATCATAAGATGTCCACCTCCATTCTTAGCAACAAACTCAACAGGCACATTAGCAATATCTTCAGACTGAACATTACTCTGAATTGGTAAGTCAATATAGAGATGTCCATCTAAAATACAAGAATTTTGTTGTGATGAATCATAATTATGATTTTGTGTGGATGATGAGGAGGATGAAGTAAGATTGTTTGGAGCACGCAATGGTGTATTTGGTGTGTTGAGATTTGAATTACGATCAGGTGAAACAATGTTCAAAGGTGACAAATTTGTGCCTGAGGACGGAGGATTTTTCATTTCGTTTGTGTAAATAAGAGAATTGAGTCTAATCAAAGATCACATGCCTAGTTAAGATCACCCTCCTATTTGGTAGAAACACTCTATATCATTTATGCTTGCTGCTATAACCAACGTACACACCAGGCTAATTTTTGTACTCTAGTTTGTTTTTATTATATGGCTTCATTAGAGGATAACACAGACATCCAAAAGACTTAAGGAGGGAAAAAGTCAAGTTTATTCTTGTTCATAACCTCAAAAGGAGTTCTATATTCCAAAATCTTTCTTGGTGTTCTGTTTATAATGAAGGCAACACTACAAACTACATCATCCCAATGATATGTTGGAAAATTATATTGAGAAAGAAGGAAAAGATCAACTTGAATCAAGTGTCTGTGCTTTCTTTCTGCCATGCCATTTTTCTTAGGAGTATAGGGGCATGACATTTGATGTTTAATTCCATTTTAAGACATGAATTTGCTAAAGCTATGAACTCTTTATCCCCATCACTCTGAAAACCCTTGACGTTCTTAGAGTATTGATTCTCAACAAAGGTCTTAAAATGAACAAAGGCATCACATGTGTCCGTTTTTTTTAAGTAGATAAACCTAAGTATTCCTACTTGCATAATCAATAAAGGAAACATAGTAACTGAATCCTCTAAGGATTTTACTTGGGTTGGTCCCCATAAGTCTGAATGTTTGAACTCAATAAGGCTATAACTTTTTGCATCTGAGGTAGGAAAATGAAGCTTATGCATCTTTGATTTCATACAAGCTGGACATAAAACAACATTTTTATTGTCAATAGCAAAAGAACATTACAATCAGTAAAAGCTTTCCTTACAATATCCAAATTAGCATGCCCAAATCTGGTGTACCAAACATCTAGATCAAGTCTATTCCTAACTTCAACTGAAAACAAACTCAAATTCTGGTTCAGAGGTTGAGTGAAAATGTTCTTGGGTTCAGAGGTGTTTGCTTGAAGGAAAAAGCTGCAGAGTCCATCTTTAAGTTCTCCCTTTAGTAGAACCACTTTTGTAGTTTGATCCTTAACAAGACAAAATGAAGGATGAAATTCAAAGAAAACAATGGTGGTCCTTATGAACTAATTGTTCTACACGTCCTTTGCAAATTTACTAAAAGTAGCCACAAAATCTGAAAACATTTAATGCATGTGTTATTTGAAAACTTTGAAAATGCATGCATTAATTAAACGTTTTTAATCTAGATCAAATTATGATAAAAAAGATTATTTCATTGAGTAATTTTATAAATCGTAGCAGATTAGATAAATTATTTTCTTATAGTTGGTGAATTAATCTTTGACAATATATTTTTTTTATTAAACTTAATTTCATTATATAAAAAATAAAATATTTTTCAAATTAATATAATTTACCATTTAAAAGATAATGATCAGACACGTTATATAGTTTTACTAATGACCAGATAATAAAATTAAAATGTATTAACTATTCATTAGAATTTCAATCTTTGCTTTATTTGTATATTTTTGTCAACCA